CAATTTGTCAACATGTGCTGTATATATAATCCAGCTAGGTTAAACAGTGACTAAAATAAGAAACAGTCTCTGAGAAAGGAAGGATGGAAAGTTCCCACTGAAGGGAAAAGCAAACATTATATGAACTGGGTTTGAAGAGACAGATTGATGCTGTTATTAATAAGAGAATGCTGTGTGGAGAACTTTTAATGTTCCATGATGCCAAAAGACAATTTGTTTCATTTTTCTTTAAAAGGATGTGCAAAATAAGCTAATCTTTGTTTTCATAAGACTTGAGATTAATGTACAGATGTCCCTCTATGCAAATTTGTTCCAGAACCATGGCAGTTTACTATGCTGTCAGGCCATCAACACTTAATTACACTACCAATCACATATGGTAATGTACCTTGCACATTTGATATTACTGAGAGAAATGGGACATAATATAAAAGCCAATTTTCATAAAACAAACTCTTCTGAAGCTGAGGGGAAGCCACTGGGCCAGGCTCTATACTCAGGTTTACAGTCTATGCATTTAATTATCTAGTTCCTGGTTATTTTATTTTAATCATGTAACTTAAAATTTAAAGAACCAAGAATTGTGTATTATTATTATAATCAAAAAGAAGCGCTAAGCCACAAGGGCTAAGAATTGTGTAAATAATATTTAAATATTAATAAAATCTATATCAATATTATTTTACCAGAAAAATGAACTCATAAATGAGTGTATACCTTTTGATATACCTAGGATGAGTTCCAAGTTTTTTTTTTCTCTACTCCCAGAGCCTGACCTTGGGCCAGGCTTGTCTGGTGCATGGTTGGTCAACCAGGATGTTACTGCTGGTGATCCACTGACCTACATATCCATCACAGCCTGGTTGCTCACGCCTAGTGAAGATACTTGTCCAGTTTCCTTTTGAAGACTTCTAGACTTGTCCTAGCAGTGTTTCTGATATCTTCTGGTAAGATGCTAAATAGTCTGGAAGCATCTTTATTAAGGCTTAATCAACAAAGGTAAAATAAAGCAGCTTTCAACAAATTATTTTGGATGTAATCTAACAAAACTTTGCCCAGCAATTTATTAGACAGGAATTATGGTTTCAACAGCCCAAAAATTTACCATGAGAGTATGCAAACTTGGGCAGGCTTTTTAAACCATTAAGTTTGACAGATACAGCATAGTAGAAATAAGCAGATTCAGCACCCAAAATCTTTTTCTTTTTTCAATGCAAGTTATACTGAACTTTTTCTCAAAAAGCTTTATTTAAATTTATTGAGAATCTGACAACAGATAATCTATAACAACAAATGAAGATTTAAATGTATCCCCCCTTTCTAAAAATGCACAAATATCATTTAATTATCCTATTTATTAATTCAAATTTAATTTATATTCAAAAAATAAACTATATAATTGCATACAAAATAAACAGATATCGTATCTCACTCCTGCCATTTACCTACCACCACCAGCAACCCTTGATACTGATGATGTAATACTGACATGCTTGGATGAAAGTGTCATAAACACTGATCGATGTTAAGTGGGAAACCACTTTAACAAAAAAAATTAAAATACAGGTAGAGAGAGATTGTATTAAGGATTTCTGATTCCAGTATGGCATATATATGTATATAGGCACTCCTCACTTAATGACCGAGTTCCGTTCCTATGACTAGGTCAACTGGTGAATAAGCGAGGAGCTGCCCCTTACCGATATTTCAAGCATACTGTACTGATAGTGGGGTTGTGTCAACCATCTTTAGATACTGTTTTAATGTCACCTTTGCACCATTTATAAAATTTTTGGCATATTTTTAAATGTTTATACAGTATTGTACTGCATACAGTATACCAACTGGTCGAAGAGCTGGTCATAAGTCCGAGCGGTCTTAAACAAGTAGGCCGTTAAGTGAGGAGTGCCTGTATATATATGTATAAAAAAAAAAAGCCATCCAACACGACTGATGCCAATACACATCCATCTTACCTATGCTTCATTTTTTCTGGCCAAGTAGTTTCTCACTAATACTGACATGAACATATAAGGCAATATACTGCCAGCCATTCAGCACACACCACTGAAAAATTCCCTCAAAATATTAAATTAAAAAATACAAAAGCATATGTATGAGAGAGACTTAATTAAATTTAGTGCCACAGGAAAGATAAATATTGTCCTAAAGCTTTCTGACAGTAAAAATAATAATACTATTCCTTGTCAAAATTCTTAATGTTTCCAGCCTGAGCCTCTAGCCAGCCATTAAGTAGGATGAACAGAACACATTATATTTCTTGACAATTTAATAGCTAGTTTTAGACATTCTGGCCAGAAGAAAATTAGAATTTATAGTCTGTTATTTGTTTTTGACAAACAATATCAACACCTTAAGCAATAATTAATATGACTTTGATAATGTACAGTAGAGCATTCCTGTTTTGACAATGGCATTTTATTTCTGCAATGTATATAAAACCAGTGAATAATTTTATTTTTCTGAAGTGTACAGTAGCTACTGGATCACATACATAAGCCTTTAGTGCCTGATGCTTTCTTGTAATTGTTATGTCTGCCAAATCCAAGGAGAAAAGATTAACACTGATCTTATTCATTTTATAGTTTATAATGATATTACTGTAATACTTTCAAGATAATTTAAAATTAGTATAATTTAACGAATAATAGGACTGCCAAAACTTTTTATATTCTCTTTGTAACGATATAATCTGAAGCCCTGAAAAGCACTGAAAAACATTTGATCATGTAGTTACTGAAGATATTCTAATTTTTTAATTTAAACAATACATGCAATAATAATAAAAAAAAATAAATCAAACCACAACCTGAGCACTCTCCACCACAGACCACTTCCTAATCTATGTGCTTCCTACTAGAACTGTCTTGGACCTAACAACAAATCTCTCTCTACATTCTTCATAAAAATGCATTTTAAATAACAACTTGAGGGAGAGAAGGGAAAGGGAGAATGGGTGACAAGGGCAGGGAGAGCTAGATATCCACTAATATACATCTCTATGCCTTTTTACACTAGCTTAGTGGTACACTACCTCGGTGCACGAGTATTTCACAGATACATATACAAAGAAACATGAGAAAGAGATTCCAGATACACTTGGACACCTCACTTTATACACCACAAAATTCATCTACAACACAACTTCCTGGAACCAGTAAGGCATTTTACATCATACATACATTGTTTATCAATGCAATCACATTTTAACAACTTTTTATTGTGTCACTACATTTTACCAATCATTTACTATAACATGCAGAATTTGTATAAATCAAATTTTTATCAAAAAGGCATGTATTGAAAATTTTAATCTTCTAATGGTCCAGTCTTTGTGAATTAACAAGTCCCCTGGTTGTTATTGTGAACTAATAATAATGAGGCAACACCAAAAAAATACCAGGTGTAGTGAAAAAATTACCCTAAGTTTCATTTTATGCCACAATACAAAGTATCTCAGGCTCATTATATTCTTGTCTCAAAGCAATATTTTTACAATGCCAGAGCCTTCAACAAAATGCATTCATGGACAGTAATGTAGCATTCCCTTGAAACAAATAGGACGGGTGATACTTTCACTAAACACGTGACTGCTGGACATGAGAACATGAAAAATTACTGCCAGTGTTGCTAAAATACCATGAAAGAATAAGTGGAAATTTATGAGCTTGTTTAACAGCAAATAATAAACGCACAAGTATTATACTGTAATCCCAGTCTTGAGTGCTTACATGCAACTTGCAAAGCAGATTAGAACCCACTTTCACTTTGGGATTGTGGAAGACGATGGTAAACCACAAGTACCATACGACCCTAATTATGTTATAACATGCTTCATAAATTCCAATAACACAAGCTCATGCCTTTTCAACTTGTATGGAAATATTTCTTTTCAATTCTTAAGTCCTATATGTTTTCCTAAAAAGAAATTTAGAATGGTAAATCCCTGAAATAAACCAGATATATTTAATATCTTAAAAAGCAACCCCAGCAGTGAGATTTGGAAGTCTAAAGAATTGAAAGATACTGGCCAGCCAAGCCCCCTGTACCTCATGTCAATTATCAATTATGCTGCTCACCTGTTCTCCCACATGGTTGGCACGTGCAAACCTCTAGTTGCCAATGAGGCTGGGACAGAAAAATCTGTCATTAGGATCGAGGTAGTGGACCATGACCCAAAGAAATGAAGTGGAGGGCCATGAGGAATGAGAGGGTATTTCTTGGAAGACATAAGCAGGAAGGTTGTACAGGAACATTTCAGTCACCTTCATGCTTAATTTAGGTGTTCACATGATGCTTCAATTATGTCTTGTCCATGTCTGCTACATTAAAAAATATTTAAATATTTCCTTACTGTTATTAGATAACCAAAGTAAATAATAATAACATTTCCTGTAGTAATACAATATTATTGCAATACTGCAGAAATATATATATATATATATAATAAATTTGTATACAATTCACAGAATCACAAATAGAATAACATCAATACACAAAGGTATTAATTTATCCATTCAGAACATGAAATGAAAGAAATCATTCTTTTTTAAAATAGATCATATTACACATGCAAACACACAATAAAATTCAACATGAGCACATTTTTGGTGATGTGAAAATCTTTTGACTTAAGAAATCGTAATGACACGATTGCAAATAAACCATACCCCCGGGTTCAATCCGCCGGGGGTATGGTGAAAATCTTTTAATATGCACATTTCTGTGACATGAATATCTAAATAATTCTATAAATACTAATGAGTAACAACCAAATCCTGATCTCTGAGAATAAAAATTGAAAATATTTTACAATGTCATGAACTAATAACACAATTCCAAAATATATAAAAACTGAATCCAGACTTGATCCTTTGGAGAGACTGGAATGGTCATGTTACAAGTTTGTGTTTGACTATACATGGCACAGCACTACTATACCTGTAATGGCATTCCAACATAATCAACATTTTACTGAATTTATATTGACCATATTTAACTGCACAGGGCTTCCAATATACCATAATTGCTACTTTTTTTCTGATATAAACACAAACTGAGAGGTCACTATGGCAGGAAATAAATCCAGTACATTTTTTTTTCCTGTAAAATATTACTGCTGTACTCACAATGGTCAAAAACACTGGCTGGCCATTTCCATTTTATAAAACAAATCTCTGAACTATAATTACATGTGTGCAATGGCAAACAATGATTACCAAGATCATCATTTAGGTGAAAGCTGAGAGATTGAATAGCTATTTGATTCATAATGTTAAAACAAATCTTGGTCACCCTCCTTTTGACCTTATTATTTTTTCTGTAGTTATTAAACATATCATTTTATCTATTAAAGTAAGAAATGCAGATAGAGAACATTACCTCTTGCAAGTTGTGCATACGTTGCATTTCAATACATTTAAGCTAGCCAAATCAGATAAATTTAGGTAACAAAGAAGCAATAATTTGCATAACTACAGAACTTTTTTTTAAACAAGGAAACAACTATACTACACTAAATTTCAACATTAATATCATAACAATTTCTTATTATAATAGTTTTAGACATATGTACAACTGACTTTCCTGTCCCTTGCTTAGAGGCCTGTTGATGGTGATCGTGAGGAGTGAGGCTTGGCTGGAGAATGGGTTAACGAACGAGAGAGTGAGAGTGCTAACTCAAGTTCAACACGCTCTTGTTCTTCCTGCCGTTTCCGAAACTCCTCCATTTTTATACTCTCTTGAGCTGCCCAAGCCAGTTGTTCATCTTCTGTCACCAGCTGCGGTTGCTGGTGTATGGCTTTATTTAGTTGTTTGTTGCTGAAGCTATCACAGAAGGTACTGGATGTATTGGCAAGAGTTCCACTGTTGTTACCCCATCCATCACCTAGGTTAAAACTTTCATTTAATAGGTCCTCATTACTCTTCCACTTGTTCTTCTCTGCTTTTGTTACTTTTGATGATGAAAATGGATCAAAATCAAAGTCAACATCTCGTGGGTTACCAAGAGATGTTTTAGATCGCGTGGGAATTGTTTCTCTTGTTTGATAGGCAAATGGATCCCCAATGACAGATTTTGATCGGCTATTCTGGTTTGAATCAAAAGGATCTTTGTTGCTAACAGAAAATGTGTGTGTATCTTTCCTGGAAAACTCTGTGGACACATTAGCATTGGTATCATCATCATTAATACTGAAACCAAAAGGATCAGTCTTGTTAAATGCTGCATTATCAAGAGTGTTGTCAGAAGCACTTACACCAGAACTGTCAGGCAATGCATTAAAAGGGTCTGGTTCATCTTCCCATGAAAATTTGTCTGCATCCTTAAAACCCTGGTCCTTAAAGGGGTCATAATCCCCACCAAAAGGATCAGCAGGTTCAGAAGATCCACTAAATGGGTCATGTTGGGAAAATGCAGTAGAATCTCCAAATCCTTCATCAGAGCCAAACCCTGATGATCCAAAGGCATCTTGAGGCCAAGGAGAGTTGTCACCACTTCTAAAATTGTCTTTCGTCGTTGAGAATGGTGAACCAAAAGGGTCCTCATCACCTGATACTGCATGTTTGGCAGTCGATGTAAACTTGTCATCATCTCCCCAAGGTGATGCAGAGTGGCTGGCGACTACCTTGGAACACTATTGAGAAGAGGGTGAGTTGGGGATCAGTGCTGCAAAGGTAGAGAGAGAGAAGGGGGGGGAACCCATGTTACTGCCAGCATACGCCAGGGAACTGCACTACAACTGCAAGGAAAAAAGAATTTGACGGACATGCCCAAATCATAAAAATGAAGTGCAACAGTGATACTGGGTAACATACATTACCAAATGAACAAAACAAACTTGGTGTGTGGTGCTCAGCTCACCCAACAAGTAACCATCTGCTTACACCAACATGCTACAAACTGAAAATCAGAATGCTATAATAAAAATAAGGAACAAAGTAAAAGTGAGAGACAATGAATTACTTTTTGCTTAATATTACTTCCATCACTATGTAAAAAACATTCTACCAACAAAATCAAATAAAAAGAAGTAATTTAAATTTAAAGCATCTTTCTGCTCACTACATGCTACAACTGGTAATTTACATGAATTACTGACAGTCTAGGTTAGCTTGTAAGTCACAATGTTCTTGAACAGTATTAAAATACAGCTAAATTTTGGCATTTTATAGCAATTAACTTGAACATTTATATACTAGCAGTTTCCCAATCTAGAGAAGTATTTTAGCAAATTAAATAATGCTAATAAGAACATGTAACTGACATGTAGCCACAACATCAGAGAAAATACAACTAGGATTCAAGAGGTACAGATAAAAAAATAAAATACATACAATTTCCACTTCAACTTATTTTTAAAATATTTGTATCTGTGATATCTTATATATAAACATGCTTAAAAAACAATAACAGCAATTACTGTGCTTCAGGACATTTTTTAATAAGCTTGAAATTTGTTATAGTATATAATATTTATATTTACTGGATATCTAAATATACTCCCTGTTAGGTTAGTTATACGATGAGGAAGAATTTACTGAATTATATAATTATATCAGCATTTCTGGGTAGTGGTATCCTATCTTCAGAGAAATTTATTGTTTTTCCATTAAAATTATTTCATCCAATCCCACTTAATAGGTACAGTACCAGTGTGTCACCTCAATACTGCCTTGCAAACATTTTCAATAACCATTGGTCTTCCCAAGGTAACATATATGATCCTTTCTCATGGTTTGTAATTATAGAACATCTCAATGCCACAACACCTTTAAACATTTTTTCTACCTCAAACTCTAACTACATCACACAACAATCTAGTTCATGTTATAAAAAAAAAAAAAAAAAAAAAGAGGGATGCACACCAAGAAGCTAACACAATCCATTAGCAAACTTCTATATTGTATAGTATTTGGTAAAAAACCATCTTACCTAATAGATCTCTGGATAACTAACTCCCAAATACAAAAGCAAGAAAATAAGTTCCTTGGTCTACAGGCAGACAAACTGAACTAACAATCAAAAGTAATACATACTCTAACAGACACAGTATCTAGATCCATTACATACCCAACTCGAATCCTATATTTTACTCCTTTGTGACCTAGCCAAGCCTTACACCTAAGATCTGTACATGATGACTGACTACACACTTGTGTCCTTTTACTTTAAATATCAAGCCAATCACTCATCCAAAAATCATTAATCAGAACCATAACTCTAACTTCAGGAAACAATGAGCACCATTATGAGATCCCTAAAATGAAGTAGGAAGCTATTCATAAATAATCCTATTCTCTATACCTGCAGGACCCTCTTATGTTTTTTTTTTTTTTTCAACTAGACGGCTGTCTCCCACCGAGGTAGGGTGACCCAAAAAGAAAGAAAATCCAACACTTTCACCACACTCATACATAATCACTGTCTTTGCAAAGGTGCTCAGATATGACAGTTTAGAAGTCCCTCCAAACTGTCAATATCCCAGACCCCTCTTATGTCTTATCTTGTCAATTAATGGACTGGAGATTATTGCCCCTGTGGCCCAATCTCGACCAAGCCTTCTAAATATAGGAAATATTAAACAAGAAATAATAAAAAACACATAGGAAAATTAAAAAAAAAATAAGTCTCTTAATGTTCTGAGAATTATTATAAATATTAAATTGCAAGATTTACCTACAATCTTACAGGTTTGCAGGACAAAACAAGAAGAGAAGTTTACTTCCCAGTGCAAAAACACTAAACAGGTTTCTATTTCAGATTCTCATTACATAGAGTACCTCCCTGGGTGACTGCTCTCCACCAACCTATTGCCTATTATATTAAACAATAATTTTTTTTTTCAACAAGTCGGCATTCTCCCACCAAGGCAGGGTGACCCAAAAAGAAAGAAAATCCCCAAAAAGAAAATACTTTCATCATTATTCAATACTTTCACTTCACTCATACATAATCAGAGTTTTTGTTGAGGCACCCAGATATAACAGTTCAGAAGCATATACAAAGATACATAACATACCTCTCCAAACTGCCAATATCCCAAAACCCTCCTTTAAAGTGCAGACATTGTACTTCCCATTTCCATTACTCAGGTCCTGCTATATAAAGATAACTGGTTTCCCTGAATCCCTTCATTAAATATTATACTGCTCATACTCCAACAGCTCATCAGGTCCCAAAAACTATTTGTCTCCATTCACTCCTATCTAACACGCTCACGCATGCTTGCTGGAAGTCCAAGCCCCTCGCCCACAAAACCTCCTTTACCCCTTCCTTCCAACCTATTCGAGGATGACCCCTACCCTGCCTTCCTTCCCCTGCAGATTTATACGCTCTCCATGTTATTCTACTTTGATCCATTCTCTCTAAATGACCAAACCACCTCAACAATCCCTCTTCTGCCCTCTGACTAATACTTTTATTATCCCCACACCTCCTAATTTCCACACTCCGAATATTCTGCATAATATTTACACCACACACTGCCCTCAGACAGGACATTTCCATTGCCTCCAACCACCACCTCACTGCAGCATTTACAACCCAAACTTCACACCCATACAAGAGAGTTGGTCCCACTATACTTTCATACAATCCCTTCTTTGCCTCCACAGATAATGTTTTTTGTCTCCACATATACCTCAACGCACCAATCACCTTTTTTTCTTCATCAATTCTCTGATTAACCTCATCCTTCATAAGCTCATCTGCTGACACGTCAACTCCCAAATATCAGAAAACATTCACTTCTTCCATACTCCCTCTCTCCAATGTGATATCCAATTTTTCTTTATCTAAATCATTTAATACCCTCATCACTGTACTCTTAACTATGTTCACTTTCAACTTTCTACCTTTACACACACTCCCAACCCCATACACTAACCTTTGCAACTTTTCTTTAGAATCTCCCATAAGCTCAGTATCATCAGCAAAAAGTAACTGTGTCAACTCCCATTTTGAATTTGATTCCCCATAATTTAATCTCACCCCTCTCCCCAACACCCTACCATTTACTTCTTTTACAACCCCATCTACAAATATGTTAAACAACCATGGTGACATCACACATCCCTGTCTAGGTCCTATTTTTACCGGAAATTGATCTCCCTGTTTTCTACACACCCTAACCTGAGCCTCACTATCCTCATAAAAACTCTTTACATTATTATTATAATCAAAAAAGAAGCGCTACGCCACAAGGGCTATACAGCGCTGCAGGGTAGGGAAGGAAGCGAGGGTATTGGATGGCAGAAGGGAGGAGGGATGATCAGTAGGTTACAGAAAACAGCGGGGCAGGGGATAGTACGGGGGTAGGGGGTAGCAAGAGATTGAAGTAGAAAGGGCTGAAGGTATCAGAATTTGTGAAGTCAGTTGTTGTCAAAAAGTCAATGAGAGTGTCTGGATGAAAGGTGGGTCCATCAGTGAGAAGGGAAGGTAAAGCGAGAGCAGCAGAGTGAAGACGACGACGGAGGTAAATTCTGTGTGCTCGTTGATAAAGTGGGCAGTCCAACAGAATGTGGCTGACTGATAATGGAACTTGGCAATTCTCACAGAGAGGAGCAGGGCGCCTCTCCGTGAGATATCCACGAGTAAGACGAGTATGGCCAATGCGAAGACGGGAGAGAGTAGTCTCACAACCTTGACACTGGTGATAAGAAGACGGCCAGTAACATAAACTCGTTTAATAGATTGAAGTTTGTTGCCGAGCATAGTAGACCAACGTTGTTGCCAACGGTGTGGAAGTTGGGGAAAATATTGCAGCAAATAATCTGTAAATGGAATACCTCTACATGAAACTGGTAGGTCATGTACTGCTGACCGCGCAGCAGTGTGCCTGTTCATTGCCCTGTACGTCAACATGACCAGGGACCCAACAAAAAAAATATCTTTATGCTTGGTAAAGTGCGGCGAGCCAAAGTTGGATACGGAGGACTAAGGGGTAGGTGTATCAAATTTCTGTATAGCCTGTAAAGCACAAAGGAGTCTGAGAAACGCACAAATGATGACACAGGCATAGATGCAATACTGATAAGTGCTGTAAGGAGATGCATATACAATTCAGCATTAAAAATACTCGCCGAAGATAGTAAATGCCCTTGAACGAGTCTGTCCGGAAACAGTGCTCGAATCCCTAACGCCGGCAGAAGACATAGAGCATCTGTAGTACACAGCAATGGCATGAGAATGAGAGTGAAAGTGGACAAGAAATATAGGCGGGAAGCGACCGTAGACAAGTGTACTTTTCAAAGCAAGGGAGAGAAAAGAACATGACTCGAACAGGCCCGTGGAACTACCCAGGGGGTAGAAAAAGTGAGAAGCTACATGTACATAGAAAGGGAGGTTAATTGAGAGAAGAGCAAGAGCGAATGAAGGCGAGAGAGGAAGGGACGGAGTAAAAAGGGGCTGGTGCGAACAAATAAAGAATGTCTACTAATATCATTGACCATTTCCCGAAAAATGTAAGGATTGGCGGAATCATGAGAGAGTAAATAGTAGCGAAGGCAATGGGCCTCACGGCCGATCGGATAAGGATGGGAACGTTCGCGTTCTGCATAGAGGCTCTCGACAAGGGGAAGAGCGAAAAGCCCCAAGAGCAATAAACGTAATCCTTGGTGATGAATGGGGTTAAGGCTAGAGAGATAGCAGGAGTATGCCGGGCTGAA